ACAATTGACTGGATAGGTCCACTCTAATTGGGCATAAGCAAGATTGTTGTCTGCTGCCTAGTTTTTATATCTTGGATGGTTTGATTTCATATAAAATCTTTAGAAGTGGTATGCTAAACTGTACAAATAGAATATTGTGATGGCTTGACAACCTTGTCAGCGGGGAATACCTTTACCTTTACCTTTACCTTTACCTATTGTGCTCCTTCCTGATATGCTGCTAAGATAAAAACTACACAGAATCTATAGTCTGGTCACTTTATCACATCAGGCTCATAAGGCAACTCAATAGCATTTGCGCATGAAACACAAACATACCAGGATGGGTATAGTCCTTATTGCACAGCTCTTCCAAAGTGCTGCTTACATCCATGACTCTGTCTTCTGCTTACACCAGCCTCCATAGCCTTACTTTCCTGCCCTAACCCTTTCCCAGGATGCCTTTTGGTTTGTATTACTTTTTATTTTTAGCGTAATTTGATGAAATCCATTAAATAAAAATAAATAAATAAAATATTTTAAAAACAGCATGCTTGGGAATAATGGGGGGGAGGGGGAGACGAGCAGAATCATAGCCACTTGCACCATGCCTGCATATTGGAACTGCAGCTGGAGGAACTTACCACACATGAATCAAAGTGGAAAAGAGCACAATTAGGAGGCATTGATGGGTTTTGCCCATCAATGAGAAAGAGCACTCCAACAATGGATGGACTACAAACCAGCTACTGGACAAGAGCAGCATCATGTGATAGGGTATGGCCACAGATGCTGCTATCCTGCTCTAATTCCACTTTTCAACTCTTGTTTAGTAAAGTCCTGCAAGTGTCTAGTGACCACACCTGGAAATAGATGTATTCTCTGAAGGCCAAAATTTTGAAAACTCTAGTGCAGGGTCTAGTGCAAACTTTTTTTGGGCTACCACCCTTTTCTTCCTGGGTGACAACCCAAGTGCTCCCCATGGCTGTTTCTTGATATCAGCTCTACTTTTTGTGCAGTAGCAGCATTTACCTCAGCTGCACCTAGCTTGGCACTGCTCTGGTGGCACAGTGGTTAAATATCAGTACTGTGACCACTCACAGCCACAAGGTTGTGAGTTTGATCCCAGGCAGGGCTCCAGAGTCCACTCGGCCTTCCATCGTTCCGTAGATTGCTAAAATGAGTACCCAGATTGTTGGAGGCAATCAGTTTACAGACTGTAAACTGCCTAGG